CCACGTAAAACCCCGCCAGAGTTTTTTACGGGTAAGCTGCTAACTCGCGAACCAGAAAAGCTAGAGGGCTCAAATTTTATGAGAGTGTTCTCCGTCCAAGTAGGTGCTAATGAGCTCAAATCCAGCCCCCGCTGCGTAGTGCCCGCGTACGGGCCCCCCAAAATTTTTCCCGCGTAAATTCATAACTCGGGGTTCTGAGATGCTGGAGTACGAGCCCCCCAAAATTTTTCCCGCGTAAATTCATAACTCGGGGTTCTGAGAAGCTAGAGAGCTGTAATCTTAGGTGGGTGTTCCCTGTCTAAGTGGGTATTAAAGAGTTCAAACCCTGCCCGCGGGTAAGCGTTGTACCTACGTACAGGCCCGTGAAAATTTCCTTCCGGGTAAGTTACTTACTCGAGTGAGAAGCTAGAAGACTGGAATTTTGAGGTGATGTTTCCTGACAGTTCTGGCGGCCAGTCTGAAATTCTTTCTGCTAGAAGCATCTGCCGAAAAACCGATGCCGGTAGCGGCAAAAACTGCGGGGAACTCTGCAAAAAACGCATCTTCGCACGGGCAGCCCGCGCGTTGGCCAATTATTTTGCTTTTGGTTACAGGCTCCAATTCCTTGATTTTGCTTTTTTCCCTTTTATTCACAAATTCAGGTTTGTTTTAATTTACTTTTCCTTGTAGCGCCGTGTAGATTTATTTCCTTCTTTACTGCTATCTCAGTTCTTGCTTCGAACTCCTGACTAGCACCCTTTTTCCCCTCCTGTATCCTGTTCCCAATCCTTGTCTCCAGAGCCGCATCGGGGCAACCACCACCTTCAACGACTGTCAACTTTTATCGTCCTGAACTCCTAACCAGCATCTTCATTCCTCCCCATTATCCTGGCTTCAATCGCACTCTCTGAGCTATATCTAGGCAAATACCAACCCTCCAACCACGTCTTATCCTCCCACCCTTCACCTCCGCGGCCGCGTGATCTAGCCGTCGACCAAGCGCGTCTGGTAATGTTTCAGCGAGCAGAGCCATGAAATAGTGTTGGCAGAGATGAGCCGAGCTAAGCTTCTGTAACTGCCTAGCCGAGCTGAGTTTTAATAGTTGCCTCCATACCAGCCGAATGAGAGCTGAGTTGCAGTGATTGTAATGTGCCCCTTTGAAGGGCAAGGTAGGGCAGAGGATGTGGAGAGGTAGGGAGTGAGGCTGAATTCCCAGGTTTCAGTATCATAACAAAGGAAAAGGGATAGGACCACTGAATGGAAAACAGTCGAGACTTTACCTAGAAATAAGAAATGGGAACAGAGACGAGTGTTATGGAGCAAGAGAGAGAAATGGGAAGTAATATCGATTTATGATGCTCAGCAAAAAAATTGACGCTGGTAGGTTTGTGTGAGACACATAAAATGTTATTTTTCCTTGCATAAAGAAACCTAGTAATTGTGTGAACAAGTTTCAAGGTTCACAAACAAATCGACTGTATATGAGAGGGCTGAATTGAGCCGAGTGTTAGTAGCTGCCTTTGCACGCGCCTAGGCCTGGTGTTCAGACACGTCAAATTTTAAACTGAGGCATTGTTGGCACAGCATCAGTTCGAAATCTAGATTAAGCTGGAAGTTGTAACTTTATGTAAATGTTTACTGCCCATATGCGCGCTTGCAAACATAGAGTGAGCTTTCAGGTATATTTATGTCTTATGTAGGTAGCCGTCAAAGATCCATTTGCAAAACTGTCGACATCTGCTTCTCAGTGTAATCCAACATGCTAGAAACCTTAGATTTTACGAAATCCACAGTGCAACACTACTGGCTCGGCTGATGCCTCTCTCTTCCAACGTATGAGAAAAGACCAACATGAATATATCCAATATGAATCTACACAAAATTGTGATATAATGTGCTGTTAAGCGTTTTTCGATGCAAGAAACATTGCAAAAAACATGACTGTACTCGCAAGTTTGACGTGCGTCAATAATTTTTTGCAAACAACATGGCTTTTTTGGTGCCTGCATAGTTAATAAAAATTCTTTAACTTCAATGAGCCTGGCGTACATTAAATCGCCGGATAGACGAGCACTTTCTTGTTCTGTCCATTAGGCTGTTATTCGTTCGAATACCTTGCTGTTCGTTTTTCAGGCCAGCTTTAAAGATGTCCACATGCAGATGATATTATTCTGCTGTTGCTTCATGTCTATTAAAGCAGCTTAAGCGCACCTTGTGGTACCTCTCATAAGAACATGTTCGCGTTGTCGCCTAATGCGCACACAACCTTCTTCCCAAATTGCGTACTCTCGCGCCATTCCATAGTCAATCAAATAAATGATGCGCGATTCAGGTCCGTGTCGTCCAATCACCATATTTGCTAGAAATATATTTTTTAATGATGGGAACACAGTTTCATTCGACTGTGTAGGTCTGGTTACCTTTAATTTGCTGTCAGAAAAACTAATTCTCCTTGCTCATTTCTCTCCACGAAACAGAATTTTCAATTTTGACAGCTAGTTTTTATGCGTCTTTGCTGTGCAGCGCTACAGATGCTAGCAAAAAAACATATTGTCGAGAGGCTGTCTGTGTGCGTGTGCGTGTGTGTGTATGTGTGTGTACGTGCGTTCGGAAGCAAGTCCATTTTGTTACTCACTTTCATCTCAGCAACCAGGAAAGCTGGGAGGTTGAAACTTTGGGTATATGTCCCTACCTTGTTTGTCACCCTCTTGTTTCATTATCTTCCCCCATGCGCGCTTAGACCCCGCATACGGAATCCCGAAAAAAATATGCAAATTTCTTCGGCGGGAAACGATTTTGCGAACCAGACAAGGTGCAAAGCTAAAACTTTGTAGGAGTATTCTCTGTGCATAAGCGAGCTAAAGATTTAAAATTCAATTGTCACGCACGCTTGTGCAGCACGTATGATTACGTTAAATTTTGCAACTTGGTACTGTGCTAACTCGAAAACTTGCCGGGAAACAGTGTTAGAAATTTTATCAGCATGTTTTACGCTCATACGGAAAATTTTGTACCTAAAATGAGTGCCGATTTACACTCGTGCCGCGACTTAGGGCACTTCAAAGATATTTGTAACGAAGTGGATATTTCACTTATCGAATAAGCTGCGAGGCTGAAAATCCACTGGGATATTCTACTTTCAACTGTGA